CTTCCACCCATTTTGTGAAGTAGTTTGTTGCTGCGAGAAAGAACTTTCTGTTGCTGGGTGCTGTTGGAAGTGGTCCTACTATGTCCAAGCCCCATATTGCGAAAGGCCATGGGCTAGTTAATGGTAGGAGTTCTCTTGCTGGTTGATGTATTTGGTGCGCGAATTTTTGGCATTTGTCACACTTTTTCACATATTTCTCTGAGTCTGCTTGCATATATGGCCACCAATATCCTTGCGAAATAGCCCTGTAAGCGAGTGACCTTCCCCCTTGATGACTTCCACATACCCCTTCGTGTATTTCGAACAAGAATGCTTTCACTTTGCTGGGATGAACGCACTTGAGGTAAGGCCCAGAGAATGACTTCTTGTATAATGCCAAAGATGGAGATAGCCAAAATCGCTGCGACTTTGCCCTTATTCTGTTGGCTTCTTTTTTCTCTTCTGGTAGGATGCCGTCTTTTAGGAATAGGATGATGGGATCCATCCAGGAGGGGCCTAATTCTGCGCAACATACCTCTTCTGCTTTGGGGTCTTCTATGCTTGGTCTTGGTAAGAAGTCGATGAGTAATGGATGAGGGATTGATGTATCTGCCATTGAGGCAACGCCTGCTAGTTCATCCACTCGGCAGTTTTCCTCTCTGCCAATTTGTTCTATTCTTACTACATCAAACTTCTTGATCTCTGTTCTGACTAACTCTTGGTACTTGGCCATTCTGTCTTCATTTGCTTCGTATTCGCCAGAAATTTGGTTTACCACCAGCAGAGAGTCACTGTATACCATTAGTTCGGTGGCCTTCATGTAGTATGCTGACTTAAGTCCTGCGAGAAGCGCCTCATACTCCGCTTCATTGTTGGATGCTGGGAAGCCAAGGTTGATTGCTTGCTCTACAACCAGGCCGTCTGGAGAGATGAGGACTATGCCAAGCCCTGCACCATGTCGGTTGGATGCTCCATCCACAAAGAGCTTCCACATCTCTCCAACGAATAATTTCCAGCAAGTGGAAGGATCAGATGATGTCGTGGGGTCAAGAATGGTGTTTTCCTCAAGGTCCATGTTGGCTGTCTGCCCTTTGTCCTCTGTTTGAGCTGCTGGTGAGCCTTTGTTTGTCTCTTCCTTGTTGTCCTTAGTATGGTCTGCCTTGGTGCTTGATTGACTACCTTCCACTAGGGGTTGCGTTATTCCGGCGTCAACTTCCGTCCCTAGTTCGGTTGTGTCGGTTGGGTCCACTGGGCAGATATGATGACTTCCAGGAGTAAACTCTGCGACGAAGTCTGCCAAAGATTGGGCTTTTATTGCGGTCTTGGGTTGGAACTTGATGTCGAATTGTCCCAACTCTACTGCCCACTTCAAAATTCGCTCGCTAAAGTTCGCCCTTTCAAACAGAACTTTTAGTGGAAAGGCTGTGAGGACGACTATGGTGTGGGCGTGAAAGTAGTGCGCCAATTTTCTGGATACCATCATTAATGCTAATGCTAGTTCCTCTAAGGGCAAGTACCTTGTTTCGGCTCCAAACAATGTCTTGCTGACATAAAAGATGGGCAAGAGTTGTATTCCTTCTGCACGAACCAACACTGCGCTGACTGCGTGCTGAGAGACTGCCAGGTACAAAAAGAGTTCTTCACCAGGAACTGGAGTAACAAGTAGTGGTGGGGAAGACATGTACTCCTTCAAGCTTTCCAGAGCTCGGTCGCATTCTTCATCCCACTCAAACTTGGCTTTTAAAGCTTGGAAGAATGGTCGTAGTCTGTCTGATGACCTGCTTATGAACCGGTTGAGCGCAGCTGCCATACCAGTGAGATGCTGCACTTCTTTGACTGAGTTTGGTCTCTCCAACTCCTGGATTGCTTTAATCTGAGAGGGGTCTGCTTCTATACCCCGGTTGGTCACAAGAAAGCCCAAGAATTTTCCAGATCCAACTCCGAATGCGCATTTGGACGCATTGAGGCGCAACTTGTGTTTCTTCACGAACTGAGTCCCATTGTCTGAGATCAGTGCTTTTGGTATACCAAACCGAGTGATGATATTCTGCCAAACAAACTTCTTCACATCC